CGATCCCTGGCCACAGAGCTACCCACAAGGCACAGCAGACCTCTCCTGACTCGCCCGCTACTCTCCTCAGCAGTATATTTCAGTCAATCTGCCTGCTCTGCTCCCCACTCTGTCTCTGGTGAATCCTCTCACCCCTCACACCTCTGGCCTGTACCCCAGTTATTGTATGCATAAATAAATAAATCTTAAAAAAAAGAAAACTAAGCAGCTCAAGCCACAGTCTCAGTGAGAAGGTTTCAGTGCAATGTTATGTATGAAGTGAGTTTCAGTGCAATGCTATGTATAAAAGGAAAAAAGTGCTTAGTCTATGAAATATTTTATTTAAAAGACAGCATCTAAAAACATTAATCTAAAAACATTAAATGCATATTACTAAGTGAAATAAGTCAACCTGAAAAAAACCACACAATTTGTATGGTACCAACTATATGATATCTGGAAAAGGTGAAACTATGGAAACAGTTAAAAGATCAGTAGTTGCCAGGGGCTGGGAGGAGAGAAGGCTGAGCAGGATTTTTAGGGTAGTTGAAATTATTCCGTGTGACATAATAATGATGGACATATGTCAATACGTATTGTCCAAACCCACAGAATATACAATATCAAAAGTGAACCCTAAGGTAAATGATGGACTATAGGCAATGATGATGAGTCAACATAGGCTCATCAACTGTTACAAATGTCCCATTTAGACGGAGATGCTGATGGCAATGGCAGAGACTGTGCACTGCATGGACAGAAGGTCTATGAGAAAAATCCCCCTCAATTTTACTGTGAACTTTAAACAGCTCTAAAATATAAAATCTATTGTTTTAAATAAAGAGGGAAGGAAGGGAGGGAGGGTTAAAGAAAAAATGGGGGGAGCAGGAAGGTAGTAAATGACTTAGCAAAACAGAGAAAACTGAAAGCAAAGTAACTTCAGAAAGAGGGCGGTAATATGAGGTAGACCAATTCCTGTCACGAACCCCAGGAAAAACTCAGAAGTTGGAGGCATTATTAGAGATACAGAGTAAGAAACTGAAAACACGTTTAGTCTTTAAAAGGAGCAGATAAACTCACTATCCATCCTATCTGTGCCATATCCGGGCACCTACCTTTTACCCAGCCATGTGGAAGTTGAAGTGGAAATGGACATGCCAGCTGGTGACACTCCTGTCTGTGTTCAACAACCAGAACTCTGGCAGGCAAGTATGATTCATCCCCCACCATGGGGAAAACCAATTAAACCTACAAAGTTTAACCTGATCACAAGATGGTAAATTCACCAGCCTCCCTTCCCTGCTCACGGAGTTTCTAATCCACTTTTTAGATCCATTCCTAAATATGAATAATGAGTCAAAAATCACTAGAATTTTGAAAACTTAAAAAATTAAGACCAAAACTAACAGAATGAGTCCAAAAGAGAGATATGCAACACAAAAATAGCAATACAGGAAAAAAGTAGAAAAAGATCTTGAATTCATGAAATACAAAATGCTCTAGTTTTTAAGTAATTCATAGGACAGGCATAGTTTTTTAGAAATTGAAAATACAAAAGCAAAAGTGAAAAGTTAAGTAGAAGGACTAAAAAAATGTAAGTTGAGGAAATGTACCAGAAAGGAGAAAAAAGACAGAGAAAATAGGTGTAACCAAAAGATGAAAAGGAAAAATAGGGGGGAAAAATCAATGAAATGATATAAAAAAAGTATGAGAAATAAAAGACACAATTATCCTGACTGAATGGGCCCACTCAGTTGTGAAAGAGTAAAAAAAGAGCCATACCCAGGAAGCATGTGGTTGTAAAATTTCAAAGCAAAAAAATATTTATATATAAAAGCCTCCAGAAAGCAGAAACAGACAAAAGTCACAGAAAGAGTGTTGAAAAGCAAAAGGCACTAGATCTTTCAATCACAATAGTAGAAGCCAGGGACTCTTTGAAGGAAGTACTTTCAGCCTGGACTTCTCTGACAGGTAAACTCCAATCGAGTATGAGGTGCACCAGGCACTACAGGCACACAGGGGATCCAAACATTTACATTCACACCCTTTCTTCTCAGGAAGTTACTGGAAGATGGACTAGGTAGGAATAGGCCAAGAAACTCCCAGAAATGAGGTAAAAAGCCAAACCCACAAGAGGATGTCACAACATCCAGAGATGGGGCTGGACATGGGAAGCTGTGCATGTGCAGGTGATGGCTGTGTGGCAGGCCCACAGAACAAGAGACCTAATAGGGCAGAAGAACAGAAAAGAGGCCACCATGCGGAGGAAGGCGGAACCAATGAGAGGGTAGGAAGGACTTCTCAAACTTTTAATGTCCTGGGAGAACATCTGTCATCTGTCCGTTTAGAAATGAAATCATGAGAGATAAATGAAAATAAAATAAGCAAAAATACATTAACTCCAGAGGAAAAAACCTATATGTTCAGTAAAGGACATAGGATATATTCTCAGATGGAAACAACAGTTACGAAGTCATAATAATACAAACATTGAGTAGTCACTTTAATAAAAATACAACAGAGAACCAAACCATCATGTAAGGGAAAAGGCTAACAGGAGAACTAACCTCATCTTCCATTCTATGAAGTTCACAGGGATCCTAAATATCAAAGCATGACAGGGCAAACATGTTATTAACAAATATAGAGGTGGGGGCCTCCCTGGTGGCCCAAGGGGTTAAGTGTCAGCACTATGAAGCAGTGTGCAGCCACTGAAGCAGGAGAAACAGTTAAGAGTTGAAAGTGGTTGTTCACCAAGTCAAAAAGTTTCAGGTGAGGAAGAGTGCAGTATAACCAGAGGCAGAGAGAAATATAGTACTATTCAACTATTTAAATTATATTTCTATTCTATTTTGATAAAGATTAAATGTGAATTAAAGTAATAAATGTTGTCATTTATTACTGGGGTCTGGCAAACTTTTCCTTTGAAAAGCTTAACTACTCCAGAAAAATAATGAACTGCTGTAGACATGGTATTTGTTATCTTTTTAAAGTCTGAAGAAATATTTAAAGGGAAGAAACAGTGAAGAAGAAATTATTTTAGTGGTAAAATGGACAGGACATTTAAAAGAGCAAGGTCACCACAGAGCAGGAAGAGGTCTTGAGCACAAGTATCTATATTGAAACTAGACAAAAACAGAAATGATTCCTTCTCGTGGCTAGTGATGGAGGATGAAGGAAAATAAAGGCGGAAAAAAAAAAGTTAAATCATATCTTCTTGTATAGAACTGAGACACTGATTGATAGCTTCTACTTTGGGGTGAGGAAAGGAGTCAAGGGAAATTGTGACTGTTTCAGAAGGTACCAGAAGAAACTATTAAATTCAATTTGAGTATAGAGCAGGACGGCCATGTACTAAATTGACAGCATGTGTATTTAGTCATTCCTCTATGCTCCCATAATCCTTTACAACACTATATTATGTTTACACTAGTACTTTAAGGGATTGTGTTTTCACTAAGTTATGAACTCTCATGAACCATCTTATCCATTTGTAATATAGCCGATACTACTCACTATGGTACATCGATGTGAAATGCATATTTGTTTGTTGTACAGACATGTAAATATTTATTTCCAAAAGGACTAAGGCATGTCAAGGTACCAATATACATGAGTTACTTCAAAATGCTTTTATATGCCAGAAAATTCAATAACTTTGTTATATATTTTTTAAATAATACATAATGTTCCTTAACAGATAACACTCCCACCAAAAATTCTGATCTGACTTTAAATTTACTTATGAAGCTCTTTGACTAATCACATACAAAATCTAGAATTTGTTTGGGTGATGCCCAAGATCTTAATTAAATTCATGCGGAAAGATGACATGAACCTCTGACTAGCTCACGGATTTCAAATTAAAGGTCAGGAACATTCATAATGAGTAAAAAATCCACAGTTGGAAATCAATGCCACCCCTGCCTAGTAATAAGCTTGAAGATGATATGGTTGAAAATACTAAATTTATTGATTCAGAATTAAATGGAGTGCAGTCTCTGTTTAATAAGCACTTCCCAGTATTCCAACACACTCTACTTTTACATTCTTTTCAAAAGATAAATAAAGTTTTTATTATTCACTATGAGAAGCATATTAATGCTAGTTCTTAAAATTCTGTTTCACTCTTCCTTATATTTTAGCTAAAACCAGTTTCCTTGGTAATTACCCAGTACTTTTTCCACAAAACAATTCACATCTCTCACAAATACAATAGGTCCAGAGGGGAGGAGAGGAGTTTAAAGATAAATAAATAAAAGCAAATATTTTGTTTGTCACTTAAATCCTGTGTTGAGAAAAGGATGAACTGAATGAAGCAAAAATAAATGTTAAGACACAATTAGTGGTTACAGAGGAAAGAAGGGGAAAGGATAGACAAACTGAGTAAAAGGGACCAATTGTATGGGGACGCATTAAATGGATTGAACTTTTAGAGGCGAACTTTAATTTATACAGAGGTTGATTTATAATGATGCATGCTTGAAATTATAATGCAATGAATGTTACCTCAATAAAAGGAATTTTGCTGATTTAGGTATTTTTTACATCTATTAGTCCAAATTCTTCTCATCTTAATATAGTAGAGAAAATTTATTTGAAAAGCTTATCTTGAATGCCAGATTAAGTCAATAAATTCTCACCTTGAGTTTCACAAAACAATAGAACAGAGAATACAATTATCTAAATGATTTAGGTTAATGGCCTATTGAGGATATAATGCAGACATACATTTCTTCAAATTCCATAAATTTAGTGCTATGTTGACCAACATAGTTGTTCCCTCTTCCTTATATTTAAGGAACATCATACAATGTATAACAGCCAAACTGACATCTTCATAATTTCATCTTTGATACTTTCAAAAATGTTTCAGAAAAATAATTCCCCAAAAATGCACTTCATAAGGCATACCCTGACAATAGAGCTATGTTAGTTCTACCTTTACAATCATACAAGCTCAATAGCTCCAAGAAGACTTCTAGTTTACAAAGTATATGCAAAAGCATATTCTAAAATACCTGATTTTGACTTCAGGATAACCTGAATAGTGTGTCCATCATTGGTGACTTCACAGTCCCGACAGACCACATAATTTGGTGAGAGGCGGATATCCAGCAGAGAAGGGTCATATCTAGCTTCTCTTGAGTTTAAGTTAATGGGAGACTGGTATTCCCCATTAGCATCAGGAAACACCAAGCCCCACTCAACACCTAAAGACAAAAGAAGCAAATTCAGAATAAGTTTTTAAAAAGTCACAAATTTAAAACATAAAAACCAGCTTAAACACTGTCTTTTTAATATCTTCGATGATATTAAAAAGGTTATGTACTGTATCTTTACAAATGAAAGACAGTAAATGTGTGTGAATTTTTGTATTCATATTTTCCGTTATCTACTATTACCAAATACTACATACAAAAATCCTGGAGTAAAAAATATTCTGCTTGTGTTTATCCACATAGATGTGATAATTTGTGACACCAGGAAATTTAAGTGACTAGAAAAAATTATAACAAACATTTCCTCTGCTCATTAGTTCAATTATATACAGTACTTGGGAAACACTTGTAACTCTTAATATGCTTAGTAATAATCAAAACCCAAAACGATTAAGCAACCTCTTATCAGAAATGCAAATACGGTATTTTAAAGTGTGACTATGTATATGGACACATTATACGTATACACTCTTGCTTGATTTTAATAACAAAATTACAAATTCGACATTCGTTTCAATAAGTGTAATCAACATCAGCACCAGCGGACAGCTCTATTAGGGGTTCTATGCCTTCAGGGATAAATTTAGGAAACTAAACTTTTTGGAAAGTCAAACTTCATCCTGTCAAGCCCACTGATTCAGCATGAAATTTAGGACATGCTTAAAAGAGTTATTCACTGCTAGTTTCCTTCATGAAAAGAGTAGAGGCAGATGTACTTTCTCCCCCACTGGGTCCTTAAAGCCAGCAAGTCACAACAGTTTTGCTAACGCTCTTTTCTCAAGTTTTGGAGTCCAAAGTACCGCTGCTCTTCTGCGCTACACTGAAGACTGAAAGATTAGGGCCACAACCTTAAGGCTCGCCTTCTGCTTGCTGGCAGGTGCCAACCGCTGCCCAGCAGTAATGCCAGGCTACACAACTTGAACGTTGGCTCGCGCGCTCTCCCCTCAGCGCTGCTGGCCCAGAACCCAGCAGGGGTGCGGGAGAGAGCCAGAGAGATCCACGTGGGAAGCAGCGGACATGCAAGTGCACGGCGCAGACGAGAGCAGAACCCGGCTGAGCCCCGCACTCCGCCCGACACACGCACGCGCGCAGCTGCCAGTGCGCCGTCGGAGGACCCCGGGCACCCCGACGCGCGGCGGGTTACCTTCCTCGTAGCCCCACTCCACACCCTCTTCTTCTTCCTCCTCATCCTCCTCTTTCTCCGGGAAGGCGACGGCATCCTCGATGAAGCTCAGGTCCGCCATGGGAAGATCGTGGGGTCCCTGTGCGCTCTTGCCGGCGTGCCTCCCTCCGCAGGGCAAACGAGCTGGAGCAGGAGTGTGCGGCGCGTGAGTGCGGGCGCGCGTGTGCGAGTGAGCGCGCGGAGCAGCGGTGGAGAGCGCGTGAGGGCGAGCGCCGCTGTGGGTGCGCGTGAGTGCGAGCGGGAGCGCGCGAGAATGTGAGCGCGCGAGGATGAGTGTGAGCGCGTGTCGCGACAAAGCAGTGTGTGAGTGTGAGCGCGCGTGGGGCCGAGAGTTTTCGGATAACCGGCGAGGCGAGCGCGTCCCCAGTCCCGGCCGAGCGCTAGAGCAACCTCACCTCGGGATCGGCCGCCAGCGAGTTATAAACCCGGCGGGGGCGTGTCTGGCACGGAAGGATCCGCCCCTATCGTCCGGTGGCCGGGGTGTCGCGGGTGGACAGCAGGAAATGGCCTGGGGGTTACCGGGCTCAACCCAAGGAAGAAGCAGAGACGCCCGCTCCTCCAGCCGGGTTGAGTCGGCTCTTCCACGCTGCCTGCTCCTGTTCGGCCTCCTGGGACGGACGACCTTCCAGAACCTCAAGTCACCTACCATCTGCCCTCTGGACTCCTGAAGCCAGGGACTTTTTACCCTTTCACTTTTACCCTTAATCCAGGAGATGTCAGAAAGACAGAATGAAGGTTGGGGAGGGTAGATTAACTGCAGTGGGCAGGGGGAAAGAAAGGGCTGGGAGACAAAATAGTTTCCCTCTCCAAATCTTTATTACTATTTACCTATTAATTCACCCTTAGAACACAGTGGAGGGATTGGGGTCAAAATAAGGGGGTTGCAATTGTATGGGGAATATAAAAATAAAATTTATTTAAAAAAAAAAAAAAGAACACAGAGGAAGCATGAAAATTTTTCCAAGAAACTGTAGGTCCTAAAATCATTGAAAAAAAAAAAAAAACTATCTTAATGAAGAGAAGTAGATAAAATTTAGGGACATTTTTCCATGAAAAAAAAATATTTCAAAAGTAAGAGTTGTGAAAGGCAATAACGAAAGTGTAATTGGTTTTAGCTTCAGAGTCTGGGGTGCTGCTTCAGGCACAACTTGCTGTGTACACAGTTCCCAATTGCGTGGTGAAATAGTGTAAATAATGAAATGCACATATTACGTAATAAACAGGAACTTTACTGATACATTGTTAATTCTAAAACATGTTTCTTCGAGTGTTGATGACTTCAGGCCCCAGTTCCAATGTCTTTTAATCAAAAACTCTTAAGCAAATTAACACTGCATTTTTTGAATGTATATTGTGTAATAAACTCAGATGTGGATAAGAAGTATGTTTGTATGTTCTGTGCCCTTTCAAAATCCGTTAATGGTTTCAATGGGCAGGTCCTAAATCTTTCTATACCTATGAATGCTTAATTCCTCCTAGGAAGAAAAGATGCTCAGTTTGGGGGCCTTAAAAGTTCTGTGGTGACTATCCTTCACTCCCTACTCAGCCCATTACTTTCTTAAAAAAACGCTATTTCACAGACTTTTCTCCAGCAGGTAGATTGGGACTGAAAGAGAAGGAAAAAATCAATGATGTCACTTTCTAGAACATTTAGCAAAATAGGTAAAAGTTATTAGTCAACTTTAACTTTTAGGATAACATGTGGATTTCAAACACTCGTGTAATTGCTTTTACTCCTTAACATGGAGACCAGAAAGTCCACCACTCAGAGGACACAGTCTGAGAAAAACAATGTTAGTAGAGTTAATAGAAGCAGCAGTCTACTCTACAGAGGTAGCAATTAAAAATAACAAGCACTACTCAAGTTGTTAACTACTTTCCACTGAACTTTTAAGTGAAATATTTTGTTTCTCATTTCTTTTTTGAAAAATTTGTCACAGTCCTGGATTTTTATTAAACAGTGTTTTTAGAAGTATGTGCATACCTTAATTAAAAGCTGCAGCTAGCGGGTCCCATACAGGACATAGAGAAATCATTCTATCTTTGGGAATTCAGCAGTGTGCGTTCTCCTTCACCCTCTAAAGTGCAGAGATGCTACATGGTAGCCATCGTGTGACTGCCAATTACACTGAAAGTATCGCATGAATTATAGAGATATTTACATGCCAGAAGAAAAATTTTTCATGGTGAAACGGTATGCCACATTTACAGCAAATAGACTGAATTGTTAATATTGAAATTTATAGCTAATAAATTATTTTGCATATAACCAATAATGTTTTATCATTCATAAATGCAATTAACTACTACTCAAACATGTCTAGCTACATTTGTTCTTTCTGAATTTTTCAATATAATGTGCATAACATAACTCCTCTCTGTAAGTGAGGATACCCAGTGCAGCAACATTGTGCATCAAAATATTCAATTAGCAGCCTTAATTGCTTTGAGACTCTGTGCTACAGATTTCTGCTAATTAACTACACCTTAAGACCTTCTCTTCTCAGATCACTGTACTATATTATCACTAAAGATGGAATTTCTATTTCTAGTTATTATAAGGATGTCTATCACCATGAAACCTACACACACAGATCAAAGATATAGGCCAATTCTTTGATTTACAAAATAGAACAAGCACACCTAAATCTAATACCACAGAATCTAAAAATATTCATGCTCTATATTACAAACATATTCCACATATATCTTTATGCAATTTTAATGCATTTCAATCTAATGTTATATTTGATTCCTTAAATTAACTTTATATTGGTCGCTCTTAGTGTTTGCATAACTGAGGTCAAAACACATCAGCAGGACAATTTAATAAAACTAAGACTTACATAACTAATAACTATTTGATAAGAGAATATAAATAGAAATACCTAAAATGGTCAAACTAATCTAGATGTTAAAGGAACAAAGAGGTACTAAGAGTACTTGACACCACTGCTCCAGACCTACACAGCTCTCTCCTCCCTTTGCCTGACTTACCAAGACTTTCTTATTGTATTGGTGAGTTTTGGCCCTTGAGTAGACACAGTTGTTACCTTCTTTTTGTGTCCACTTATGGTGTGGATACATCTCAAAAATAGAGCTAATGTGTATGTCAAATGGTTATTAAAGAAATTGTAAATGTCTGAACGCTGACTATCGTGCATCTTCATAGGCACTGCTCTGCAGTAGGCACTGGGGGAGTCCTCAAAATAAATGAAACACTGCTTCTCCTCTCAAGAAATTCACAGTTCTCTTGGGGAAAATTAAATAAAAAACTTAATTTGACTAGAGCTGCAAGTACCATTATATCTAAGGAAGATGTGGTATAAACGCATAGGAATGACCAAGGAAGACTTCTTGGAAGAGATGATATTCACAAACCAAACAGATCAGTGGATTTTAGAGGATAGTGAATGAGCAACTATAATTCCAGAAATGAGCAGTAACAGGGAATCATGGAAGTGCTCATTGTAGATACATTTTCTCCTCTGATAACCTTGTGTGACCTGCCAAAACCGATAAAATACTCAGCATATGCATGCTTTAAGGGACCTAAGAATGAAGTAAGACACTAGTTGTTTTGTTGTTTTTTTCATTAGTCTGATTTTTGTTTTCCCAGTAAGGACATCAAAAATTTCCTCAGGGCCTCCTTGGTGACTAGGGGTTAAGTCTCAGCATTATCATGGCCAAGGCCTGAGCTCGATCTAACCGGGGAGCTAACCCACATGGCACAGCAGACCTCTGCTGTCTCCCCAGCTGCTCCCCTCAGCAGTATTATTTCAATTAGTCTGCCTGTCCTGCTCCCCACTCTGTCTCTGGTGAATCCCCTCACACACACACCACCACCATCACCCACACTTCTGGCCCATACCCCAGTTCTTCTACACAGGAATAAATAAATAAATAATATATCCTCAATGCATGCATTTTAGTTTCTGAAGATTTCAGGCTTTGTAAGGCAAGAAGACCTGATTCTTTCATATTACTTTCTTCAACAGATTGATCCTTTATTTTACCTGCTTAAAGTTGCATTTAAAACCAAAATTTGGTCAATGTCTCCTTGGTCTTTTGACTTCACAACCATAATGTTTAGTCTTGGGGTTCAGGGTAACTGTGGCAGATTTTATTATTGTTAATGTCTTTTGCTACCTGTTTCTGAAATTATACTTTGTTGCTTGGTCTTAAGACTTGTTTTGACTAATTAAATATGAATAGAAGTACACATACTACTTCCCAATAAAAGCTTTAGAGTTATCAAGTAGTTCCTTTATCATTTTTGGTCCCTCTATGACAAAATTACCCAGTCCAAGATAGCCACTGCTCCTTCCATCTAGAACTTGGAACTAAGAAGATCTGTGATCAAAACTACAGCCAACCAGAAGTCAACAATGTAGTGTCAATGAAATAAATCTTTATTTTATAAACCACTGAGATATAGCAATTATTTGTTACAGCAACATAACCTAGTAAAAGGTGAGTGTTAGCATAGGCAAATACAAGTTCAAGGTAAATGCAATGCTCAAATGCTTTGATGTATGTCTTTTTCTTCAAAGTAAATGCCCCTCTCTGGTCTGCAAAGAAATAAACCCTTACGTCTGTTTTACAATTTCTTACTAATTCTTACCCTAACTAGGAACCCCACAATCTCACCAGAGTGAGAAATCCCACATCCTCTAAACAGAGCGCTACAGCTCTCTTCTCTAAGTTATGTCTGTGGCCCTATTTCTACTTCAGAAGCAAGATAACAGCAGTTGAGATTGAGGTGTTTGAGATTATGATATTGATGGCTCTGAAATCTACCTTTATAGCAAACAACACCTTCTGGAGGGAGCCTTCCTAGTTTTCTGCCTAACATAATCTCCAGCACAAGTGATTAAGGTGCTTCTTCATAGTGCTTTCATAATATCCTATACAGATCTCTGATCCTGAATTTAGGATTGTATTTGAAGTATGAATTTTATGACCTTTTCCTCAAACAATGAGGTCCCTAACAGCAACAGCTTCATCTTATTCCTCTTTTATCCCTGGAAGTAGCACATGGTAGGCACTTGGTATTTCCCTGTGCCATCAGTCATAAAGTGCCCTGATTAAACTTCACAAGTAAAATACTGCAATAAATATTATGATTACTAAGATTTAAGCATTCCGGGTGCAATAAGGCCACAAGGAAAGGGAGTGGTCGAATTTACTTGGTGGCAGGTGTGTCAACAGGGACTTCATCAAGGAAGTGACAAGTTTAACTGGATCTTGAAAGATAAATAGTGCTGTTTAGTCCTTAGAAGAGAAGTAAAAGGGAGGCAAGAAGCACATTCTAGTCAGAAAGAGAAACAAAGAACAAAACAGAAGTCAGCCTGGGTTCACTTTTTTGT